TATGAGATTCAGATATATTGATCTTACTTACCCAAAGTCCTGCCAAAACTTGTTTCTTCTGCTTTAATTACGTCCTTAATGTGCGCCTCATGTTGCTGCAGCTCTGGAAAAACATCGCCAATCACTTTAACCACAACACTCACAAGGCTGCATTCAGCAAATAAACCAACAACCAAATCTGGTGACAGTCATATATCAAATTATACATCAATAAAATCTTATGAAAATTTAATGTCTGAAGTGAGATTCCAAGCTTTTGTAATAGCTTATATGATTGTGTTTCATTAGCTATTGTGGGTTGTGGCAAGAAGGAAGAAAAGAATTTTGCAAGCATTTCGAGGGTCTCCACCATTGCTTAAGATTCTTTTTATTTAAAAACAAATCTTATTAAGGAAGAAAGAAGAAAGGTACATAAAACAGAGGATAAGTTATCCTAAAAAAAGAAAGTAAAACAAAGAGAAGAAAAAATAAGAAGGTCAACTAATTCTTCAGATAGAAAAGCTACCAATCTTTATGTAAAGCAACAAAGAAAATATTTAAAGTGACCATGTGCCTTAGACCAAAGGGAGGCCAAGAAACACAAGTCTTCTAAAAGAATCATAAATGGTGAAGGGCAATCCTGGATACTCTTGCATTTTTTCCAAGCCAAATCACCCATAACTAAGCAAAGAACGCACTGGACCAAAAGGCTTTAACCTCTATCATCAAATTCGAAACCAAAAGAAGATGAAAGGAGGCCCTCAAATGTGTCTGGCAAATCCCAAGAAATACCAAAAGTAACTTATAAGCACCTATCTACACTTTACCCGTTTGCTAATGCAATCAGCAAGCTGTTTTTAGATGCTTATAAGCATCTTTAGAAAAAAGAAAAAATAGACATCTTTCTCTAACTCTTTGCATATTGATTTAAAGGTTTACTTAATTAACATATTCACCACCTATGTAGTTTCATCTATTTCTTTTCTAACCAAAAGACAACGAATACTTATTTCTTACAATGAGAATCTCTATCCAAATGTAATATTTTTTAAATTAACATCTAAGTGCTTTAAATTGCAACAAACATCTAGTTCTTTATAAGCAGCTCCAAACAACCTGTTTATTTTCTTCCCATAGAACTAAAGATTCTTCATTTAGATAAAATGTTGCGTCTACTTTTATTTCAAAAAGAAAATGTTAAGTCTAATACATCTACTTCAAACCTATTCTATTCTCATTCGATTCATAGATCTTAGCTATCAAATATATACAAATTAGTTACAATTTACACATCTGATGCATAATTAAATTAGATAAGCTCATAACTTCAATTCCTCAACCATAAATTTGCATTCCTACATGTTAAAGAATGAAACACAAAACCATCTCATTTGAATTGGACATGGAATTGACTTAAAATTAGAACATTATATTCATTTAAGATTTTATCTTATTTGTAATATAATAATATTCCTATATTATAGAATTAGAATATGAACTAAACCCAATTTAAGTGTTTTCTGTAAAATCTTACTTGTAATCTATTCTATTCCTATCCCATGGAATTCGAACCTAAATTAAACCCAATTAAAGTGTTTTGCTTAAAGAGCCCCCCCTCTCATTAATGTGGGAGATCAAGCAAAACTTAAATATCTTGTCTAACACTAGTATATTCTCTCTTTTACATCCAAGTGGCACTCCCTTGTGAATGAGATTATATGTTCTTCCTTCTCAATGCACACATATATGTATATATCTATATAAACATGCATGCCACAGTTCAACAAGCATAATAACTACCAAAACAAAAAGTTATAAAGTAATAATAAATAAATCATGTTCAAGATACCAACCCATTGAAAAACCCTTCTTCGGCACGTAGGATCTCCCTTCCATACCGAACAGCTCGACGAAGAATACGCCTTAGAACATATTCACGGCCTTCATTGCCTACAAAAAATATGTGGTTGATCGAGTTACAATTTGGAGTGTAAGAGACAGAGAGAGTTAATTTTAGAGAAACATCCTACCTGATAATAGTAAATTTTACGCAACCTTTTAGTAGCTAATAGATCATCAAAAGCACTTTATTCATATGAAACTTTATCCATAAAAAAATTTTAAAAATGTATGACTCAGTGGTACCTTCAAACATAATATCAAGGTTCTCCATTCCAAAAGAATCTTTTTACAGTTATAGGTAATGCTCACCTACTACATCTCACCCCTGTAAAGACACCTTTCGCATGGCCCTTATTTCATAGTTCCAAACATATACTTATGCTATGTTCTGAAAAAATCTGCGCAGAATTCTATAAGAAATCAATTATTTCATTTAGAGGATTTTTGCTGTCTTTTAGTTGAATTAAGTGCGGATTTACCGATGAATTCCACAAAATTTCTAGATTTGTCCCGAAATAGCCTTACGTCCATTTTGTAACATCTCCAAATTCACAGAATTCCAAGTATTCTTCAATCTTATAGCACAACAAGATCAATCACAGAAGAAAAATACCCCTAACTCCTAATTTCTGGGTTGCCAGATAGCAGAAGTTCACCATTGTAGTGGCATCACCAGTGCAGACACAAAAATTAGTGTTCTATCTAATATTGGAAGTGGTCCATCATCCTAGAATGTTATACACAAATTTTCAGGAAAAAAACGAAAAAACATTCATATAAATAAAGCTGAAGTCACCAAAAGATAATATCAGTCAAGAGATTATTAGTTAATCTTGTATCTTCTCACTGCTATTCCCTGTTTAATACTTATATATACTAGCAAGAATCTATGATATTTCAAAAAAACAAAAAAAAAAAATTACCAAGAATCTATGATGAATAAATGAGACTCCTAAACACGAACAACTTCGTAATCTCTAGGATTTTCAATTATTGGCCACTAAAACTAATCTACTCTTCAAACAATTATAAAAGGCAACAATAGCTCACAAGAACACTAATATTAAAAAAAGTTGTATTTCTACTAAAAAAGAAATGACTGCACAAGAGAAACAAAGAAATGTGAAAACTCAGTGCAAAACATACCTGGACAAGATCCATCAGCTATGGCAAAAGATAAAGTCCTAATGTGGTCTGCGACAACCCTATATGCCATGTCAACTTTGTCAAAATCTTCTGGCCCAACTTTTCCAGAGTATGTTCGAGCACCTGTTGCCTAAACAATGTAAATATACACTTCCGAAGGGTTAATTTCAAAATGACAACTTGGACATGAATGCACGTTAAATCACTATACCACTTCAAAATTATATGTGTAACTCAATTTAACTCACAACCGAATGCAATAAACTTCAAGAGAACTAAAGGATGACTGTAAAACATTAAATTTTTCTATCATATTTCAAATTCTGCATCTAGAATCGTTGCTTTGCTTTCTTCCCTCACTTGGAATCATTACTTATCCATTAAAGTTAACTGTCAAACACTGACCCATCACTTGGATACATATCATCACAGTCCAATAGTTGATGGCAGACCAGCTAACATCATAAAAAACAAAATCATATAAGCAGTGAAATCGAAAAACATAAAGGAAAGACAGCAGGAATAGATGGGAAAAGACCTTTGCTAAAAAACTATGATTATCTTGGATAAAAGAAGAATAAATATTAGGAAGAGAAAAGAAGTGTAAATAATAGCTGAATTTTATTAAAAAAAAAAAAAAACCCTTCCTACAGTATGAAAATAGAAAAGATAAAAAGGAAAAAAGTCAAAATTCAAAAGAGAAACCCCTGAAGTCATGAGCTGTAACTCAAAGTGACACCAAAAATAACAATCCCTGACATCCCATAGCAACAGGGAAAGTTGGAAAGAACCTTTACAGACGCTGGCATTCTTTTCCAACCACAAAAGAAAATAGTAACAAAATATCAACTAGAAGGCCACGATGCTAAAAAAGGATGAAGATAAATCACACTTGAAATTTAATCTTTTACTACCATCAAAGCCTATGAACATGACAACCTTAGTTAGATGACAATCACTATAATGAAAACTGTTCATAATGATGATGATGATATTGGATGACAAGTTGAACAAATAGTATCTGAAAGCAAAAAAAAAAGCCAATTCGGCAACATATGCAAATAGAAACTTATACATTTTTATAGGAGAAGTCTGAATCCTTGCTGAAACGAAGATTCAAGAGACTATTTGTTCCCAGTGCTAATAATGAATATTGACAGTGACTGCATGCACATAGGTTGCATGCTCATGACTTGAGCTACAAGGCTTAGACCGAAATAGATCCAATAAAAGCTACCTCAACTGGAAACAAGAGTTCTCTGGGTATATAATTAAGTAGTCTGACTGACATTGAAAATAGTTGGAAATACTAGCAAACAACCATCATAATTATTCTGAACATTACCTTTTGGATAGCATCAAAGATGGGCATGAACACATCAGTGTCATAGTTGCTCAACTTGTTCTGGAGCACCGAAGTTAATCTCTCAAAACCCATTCCAGTGTCAACATGCTTAGCAGGCAGAGGTTTTAAGGAACCATCGGTTTCCCTATTGTACTGTAAATGAATTAACAGAAAAATAAAAATTTTAATTTTGTATACGTAGTTTCCAAGCATTAGAAAGAGAAAAAATATTGACATGCTTTATCAGTCAAAAACATTATCCACTAATGGGCCATCCAAAATCTTGACAACTTCAAAAACAATCAGTAAACCTCATATCAAGGGTAACCCAAGGCAAAGAAGTGCAAGGCAGCACCTGAATAAACACAAGGTTCCATATCTCAATACACGTTGGATCATCATTATTAACTAAGGATGCAGCATCCTGATTACCAATTCGATCATAATGTATTTCAGTGCAAGGCCCACAGGGCCCTGTGTCACCCATCTCCCAGAAATTATCCTACACCAGAACAGTAAAATCAATGAACATTACAAACGGAAAGAAACAACATCACTAAATTTCAGTGGAAATATTTGTTAACAGTATAATAATAACATGCAATGCAAAATAAATTCCAGTGGATGTATTTGTTAACAATATAACAATAACATACAACGCGAAGTAAGTGATATGTGGGAAATGCAATATTATTTGTTACATTGAACTGAAGATATATATGTTTACATATAATATCTTAAATATAGTGTCATTAACGGAAATTTCATTTCATTCCGAAGATTTAGAATGACTGAAATTTCACCCAACAAGTTTCGACAAACAAGAAAAATAAGAACATACTTTACAACCAAATGGGAGCACCCTTCCAGACGGAAGAAACTTTAGCCATATATCTCTGGCTTCAGTGTCAGGCGCAAGACCCGCTTTCTCATCTCCACCAAAATAGGTGGCATAAATTCGATCAGCTGGCAAGCCATATACCTACGGAATACCTCAACAGGAAAAATAATAAGCAAAATTCTGAAGGTGAACATAAGGACTGTCAGATTCAAACATGAAGCGCCATGAACCACAATCACCAGTATAAGAGCACTTCAAAATAGAAGCAGCATGCATAGCGTTTTATCGTCTAACTAATGAAAAACAAGAGTACAAAAGAAAATAGCATGCTTTGACATACCTGGGTGAGAAGTTCCCAGGCCCATTCAATTGCTTCTTTCTTGAAATAATCACCGAATGACCAGTTCCCAATCATTTCAAAGAAGGTATGGTGGTAAGTGTCCTTACCAACATCATCTAGGTCATTATGCTTCCCACCAGCTCGGATACACTTCTGAGTATTACAGGCACGTTTCAATTTGCTCAATGCAGTGTTTGGATCAACTGTTCCTAAAAATATTGGCTTGAACTGGTTCATACCTGTCAAAAACACCCCGTTAATATGGTTTCCCTTTTTTGGGTTTATGTTTATGGGGCGTGACATGACTAGTGATGAGGATTTTGGGTTTATCATTGATACCCTAACTAATATGTAAATCTTTGTACATGGTTGGTACCCATTTGGTACTTTGTGAATAATATACTTCAACTTTTTATCTCAAAAAAAAAAAAAAAACACCCCATTAATGCTTGTTCCTTCCAAATGAATGAAACATAAAAGCCAACTCAAGACATGCACCATGTTGAGAATATCTTCCTTTTTCCTTAAATTTTTTTTCTTTTTGGCAGAAAGAAGAAGTATTATTAGGAACAAGAAAGGGTACATTACAAGGACAGAAAATAAAATATTCTCCTGGAGCCTTCTAAAAGAAAAACTCTGAATCAAGAAATAGTTACAGAAAAACCCACCGAAAATCAGTTCCCCCACCCCCCAACCCTTAAAAAAAGGTTCTATGTAGGACAGGGATAGAGATGTCAGAAAGAGGCCAAAATCATCATTCTGTCCCAAAGAACCTGGATCAGAAGGTGTACAATGTTCAAAATACCATGATCTCGTTCTAACCATAACAT